AGGTGGGTCGCCGTCTTTTTCCTCTGAAGGAGCGGGTGTAGGCAGTGGAGCTGTTACGCAAAAACTGCGATAGAGTGAAGCCGCGGAAGTCGAAGCGCGAAGTGGCGAGGGTTCACTGTATATACAAGAGCAATTAAATATTGAGAAAACATTCCAGCCCAGTCCAGATCAAGTTCATACATCTAATATTAACCCCTAGGTCTGATACCAATCTATAAAGTCCTCTTCAGACTAATGCAACACATGCAATGGCCCAGAATGCAGGCCGATCACAAGCCAGTGGGTGGAAAGTCTTGTGGATCCAGTGGCAGTGGAAGCATCTCAGTGCTGGGACAGGTCTCCATGTGGCTGAAGGAGTTCCAGGACTCTAGTGTAGCTCCACGAATCTTCTCAACAGGAATGTCTCGCAGGGAGTGAGCTTATGACCCGCCTCCAGTGAGCTATTTATCTCTTTAGCACCTCCAAATGAGGTCATCCAGCTGCAACCTGATTGACAGGCTCAACTCCACCCCTTCACTCTTAATAGTCACAAATTGACAACAGATTATGTAACCACCACAGTGAGCTTCCTCCAGCCACCCACCTCTGATGTCCCTTTCACCTACTCCTTCCCATCCCGTTCACCCGTCCGTTCTGTCTGTACCGTTCCACCTCCTGAATTTCTCATCACTGCCTCTTCCCTCTGCCCTGATGGCCACTGGCTTGCTGTGGACGTGGTTTGACAAATCATGGTGGCCCCTGTGTATGCAGCATAGAGCTGCCTTTTAGGAGGGTCTTTTATGAATTGCTTTTCCCTTTCCCTTTTGATTGTGAGCTGAGTGAAGGGTGACCGTGGAGACCCCCGGTTCCCCACTCAGGGAGTGACACATGCATTGTTACCTGTCTTCCATGGTGGTCCCCTCACCGTCCTGATCCCTCCTCTCCTCTGGGTTTCCACCGTCCTTTCCTCCACTTTCCCGAACCCCTCCAAGCTGTGCTTTTGAGGGACACACTGTTTCTTTGGTTTTCCCAGGATGCAGCCTATTTCCAAACAGACCACCAGGTCTTTCTTCTGAGGTGCCCCCCGGTTGGGTTGGAGCTGCCAGGCTTTTAGTTA